CCAAAACATTAACTTTGTTCTTCTTTAACCATTCTTTGGTAGAACGACTTGTGTGCTTGAGACAACGGTCTTGCTGCATGACCCACTTTCTCTTTGAGATTCAGTTCTCGGACAGAACTGTCTGTCTGACTGTGGATTGGTGGGGTCCAAACTCTTTAGAGATGGCTTTGAAATCTTTTCTAGCCGGATGAGCAACACCAACTCTTTTTCTGAGGTCCTCGGAGATCTCATTTGTTTGTGCCGTGATACACTTCCACAAACATGACCAAACTTTGATAGTTCCCTGTTCTTTAAATAAAACAGAAAACAGGGCACACACTGACACCTGATAGTCATCTCACTGATTAAAAACACCTCTGATTCACCTTCAAATTAACAGCTAATCCTTGAGATTCACATACTTTTGCCGCTCACAGATATGTAATATTAGATAATTTTCCTTAATAAATAAATGACAAAGTATATATTTTCATCTCATTTGTTTGATTGGGTTCTCTTTGTCAACTTTCAGGACTTGCATGAAAATCTGATGATTTTTATGGGTTATACTTATGCAGAAATATAGACAATTCTAAAGGGTTCACACACATTCAAGCAGCATTGTATATACAGTGGGTACGGAAAGTATTCAGACCCCCTTAAATTTTTCACTCTTTGTTATATTGCAGCCATTTGCTAAAATCATTTAAGTTAATTTTTTTTCCTCATTAATGTACACACTTGTCAACTTTCAGGACTTGCATGAAAATCTGATGATTTTTATGGGTTATACTTATGCAGAAATATAGACAATTCTAAAGGGTTCACAAACTTTCAAGCAGCACTATGAATGAAGACTTCAGATGCAAAAACCATCTGACATTTTTTCTTTTAAATGACCATTTTATTTATCAGGCTTCTTTGTTTAGGTATAGTTATTTCACTTGAATGGCAATGAAAAGGTTATTAGTTATTGAAATGCCTTATTTTCTAACTAAGTCGGAATTATTTTAATTTTAGTTTTTGGGTGACTTATCCCTTTAATATTTTATTATTATTTTTTATTATTAACAATATTGTTTTAGTATTATTTTTTATGAAATGATACTATAATTAACAAAACAAAAACTGCCAGTAGATGGTGGTAGAAATTAGAGCCTGACCGATATGTTTTTTTGGGGGGCCGATACCGATATTAGGGAGTAAAAAAAAGGCAGATATCATTATATCTTATATATAAAGATATATCGATATCAATGGAAACAATGGAAACTTACTAGAGAAGTGTGAAGTGTGACATAATATACCTCTGTAAATAAATACAATTTAAATTCACGTCTCGCGCACTTTAATGCCCTTTGAATGTAGCGTGTATGTTCCCTTGAACTGGAATCATGGCGGAATATCATGTGAAGTCCACTTACGGTCGAATAAGACAACGCTTGAATGCTGCTGCCTGAACAAGAGACCTCCTTACTGAAGTGAAAGTGTTGGCTTTTGTCACTATCTCGCGAATGCGACGGCGGATCTCCACCAACTTTGGGGGATCCCTTCAGCTCGAGAAGCCCTCTCGAACGCCGAAACAAATCACTGCTGTGTTTTGCTCACAGATGCACAACAGTTCTGCTGTGGCTTTATAGGTAATATTGCCATTGGAAAAACTGAGCAAAAACAGACAATATTGTGTCTAAAATATAACACAATATTAACTTCTTACTTATTGAACTGTATAAAATCAATATCACATTTGCACTTGAGCTATTTGGGACAAAAACAGCACTGATACTGCACTCGTTGCTAGTGTGATATTGCTTAACAACATCATATGATATAAATATAAGAAAAAAAAAACTCATACAGGGGCATTTTTGCCCCAAATCTCTTTAATTTTAGGGGCATATAACTGCATGCTACAGGCTACATCACACAGTGAGTTGTTTCCTTACATCATGTTCATCACCAGTCACCTGTATGAAATGTAAGATCACCTACGCAGGTCTGGGCAGGGCGTGTGCGTTAAATGCATTAAAAACATTTTAACATGTTAAATCAACAGCCCTACTTTAACCAGGATAAAAACTTGCAGCTCGACAATTGAAAGCTGGTGCTAATATGCACGCCGTGATTCATCTTGAAATTATATGATTCGATTTGCGTCCTCTGATTGGTTCTGTTGACTTGGAGGCTTTTGTTGGCAAAGGGATGCGTTGTTTAGATGTTTCTGCCAGCGAACCAGTATTTCTGAATGGGCTGAGGCTGGGATTTAGTGGGTTTGAAGCTACAGTATTTGATGAACTTATGAGGTGGCATTTAGCGGCTTTTGCATCTGAAGTCTTCATAAATACATATATATCACTAACTAGGTACATATCCTAAAAGCTCCTTTTAATGGTGTGTGTATTATGCTCCCTACAGAAACATGGAGGGTTTGAAGTTTTCTAGCAACACCATGCAGGTGAGTTTTGTGTGTCAGCGCTGCAGTCAACCACTGAAGCTCGACACATCCTTCAACGTCTTAGACAGAATGACTATCCATGAGCTCACAGGTATGACCATACAGTCCTACACAATTTTAAACTGGTCTCTTTCCACAGACAGAGAGAGCTGGAGCTAATCAATTAAGAAGCAGACTGAGTTTGACTTGTCTTTTTTTTTGTGCAGCTCCATTATTGACGGTGACAGCCAATAAACAGTCGGAAAGCAGTGAGGGCAGCCGTTTTCCTGAGGTGAGTATATCACACCAGCAAGCTTGCTTTGTGATCTTGTTGGCACTTATGTGTACAGAAGCTCTTCTATACAAACAAGAAGTGGTGTGGATGCAGTGGTTGCTTTGGTAACGAACAATGATGCCTGCTTATGATAACATCCTGAATCTGACATGATAACTATACACAGACACACACACACACACACACATACATGATATAAAAATACCCACACAGGGTTTCGATTTTGAAACGTGTAGTGCTCATTTTTATTCAATGAATTCAAAGCCTTTTGGAAAATCTATTTGTGGCGGTCAGTTTTGATATTGTGGCAGCCGCCACAAATTAATCAATGTATGGGAAACACAAGATCTAAAAGAATGACATCCAAAATTTTCTGAAGACAGTCGGGTTCCTTCAGAAATACAGTGATATAAAAATACCCACACAGGGTTTCGATTTTGAAACGTGTAGTGCTCATTTTTATTCAATGAATTCAAAGCCTTTTGGAAAATCTATTTGTGGCGGTCAGTTTTGATATTGTGGCAGCCGCCACAAATTAATCAATGTATGGGAAACACTGTGTGTATATATATACTGTGTATATATATATATATATATATTAGGGCTGAACGATTAATCGAATGCGATTGTCATGCGTATCTTGTCAGTAAAGCCGGTTCTGTAATCAGTAGTAAATCTCCATCACCTGCTTTCAGATGGAGCAGCATTTACTACACAGAGCTGTAGTTCACTAACAAGCTATGCAAAATCGCGTTCATAATTGCAGACAATATAATCGCTCGATAATGAAATCGAAAAAATCGTTCTGCGATTATGAAAGCTGTTTGCGTAGCTTCTCAGTGAACTACGGCTCTGTGTAGTAAATGCTGTTCCACCTGAAAGCACGTGAAAATACCACATTTAATAACATGTTTTTACTCCAAACTCACTTCATAATGTCAGTCGAGTGTTTAAAGTAAATCCCTCTGTGAGATGATGTGGATTCTTACACAGAATAAGGCACGCAACATATAGCTAAGCAGTGATAAAGGCTATGTCAATTAGCATTGCATTATTATATACTTTAATATAATAAACATTATAATAAGATGAACTCAGATATTATGACTAATAAACACACAACTACGACAATATATGGTTATATATTGTCGTAGTTGTGTGTTTATTAGTCACGTTGAATCAATGAAAGCAGTTAAATCTTCTGTTTATTCAGCAACTGCTATATGGTTTTCCTGGATTTCTTCTGCGGGGCGTATTTGGAGTTTCCTCGCGAGAGTGCCCTCTGGCCTTCGGATGGAGATTTACTACTGATCATAGAACCATGCTTTACTGAAAGATACGCATGACAATCACAGCTTCTGGCTAATCGCGATTTGTCGCCTTTGCGATTGAATTTTGATTAATCGTGTAGCCCTAATATATGTACAGTGCCTTGCGAAAGTATTCATTTTTTTCACGTTTTGTTATGTTGCAGCCTTATGTTAAACTGCTTTAAATGACCCCCCCCCCACACATCAATCTACAATGCATACACCATAATGACAAAGCAAAACAGGTTTGTAACAACTTTGCAAATTTATTAGAAATAAAAAACTTAAATTATTCCATTGCATGAGTATTCATACCCTTTTCTGGGACACTTGAAATTTAGCCCAGGACCACTCATATCACTTGTAGATGTTACTACACTTCGAGTGGAGTTAACCTGTGGCAAATTCATTTGAATGAGTATGATTTGGAAAGGCACACGCCTCTCAATAAAAGGTCTAACAGCTGAAAATGCATATCAGAGTAAAAACCAAGCCCTGAGGTCACCTTTAGAGCTCAGAGACAGGATTGCGTCAAGGCACAGATCTGGGGAAGAGTTAAAAAAAAATTTCTGCTGCATTGAAGATTCACAGAAGCATTTAGCCTCCATTATCCATAATGGAAGAAGTTTGGAACAACTAGGACTCTTCCTAGAGCTGGCCTCCTGGCCAAACTGAGCAATTGATGGAGAAGGGCCTTGGTTAGACTGGTGACCAAGAAGATGATGGTCACTCTAGTTGAGCTCCCTGATCATATATGCAGATAGGAGAAACTTAAAGAAAGACAAACATCACTGCAACACTCCACAGGTCCGGTCTTTATGGTGGTGTGGCCAAACTCAATCCTCTCCTCATTGAAGACACATGAAAACCCACTTAGAATTTGCAACAAAGCACCTAAATAACTCTCAAATTGTAAGAAACAAGATTATCTGGTCTGATGAACCTCAATTCCATGCATCATGTATGGAGGAAACCAGGCACTGCTCATCACCTGCACAGTACCATCCCAACACTAAAGTGTGGCGGTAGCAGCCTCATGCTGTGGGGCCTTTTTTTCAGCGCCAGGGACTGAGGGACTCGTCAGAGTAGAAGGAAAGCTCAACACAGCAAAATATTGAGATAGCCTTAATGAAAACATAGTCCAGAACATTTAGAACCTCAGACTGGGCAGAAGGTTCACCTTCCAACAGGACAATGACCCTAAGCACACAGCAAGAGTGGCTTATAGACAACTCTGTGAATGTCCTTGAGTGGCCCAGCCAGAGCCTGGGCTTGAACCCAATCAGACATTTCTGGAGAAACCTGAAAATGTCTGTGTGACGAGTGGGGCCGTGGGAACGGAGTGAGGCCGGTGGAGTAATTGATAATGAGCGACACCTGCACCACTCACCGGTCTCGAGTCCCACGGAGGAGCTCCGGAAGGATAAAAGGAGGAGCTACGACACTGAAAGAGAGAGAGGACCAGGCCTGGATGGCTCTCGGCCCCGCCGCCACTTGTCACATACTCCCGGGTTTCGGCACCAATGTAACACCGTTCGTAGGTCGGGAACACCGGCCTCGCTCCGTTCCCACGGCTCTCAGCCCCGCCCCTCTCGTCACAGTCTGCCAGCCCCCATCCAAGTTGACAGAGCTTGAGAGGTAAAGAGGTGAGGAGAAGAATGACAGATAATTGCCAAATGCAGATGTGCAAAGCTTGTCGCATCATACCAAAAATACTTGAGACTGTAAAGGTGCTTCAACTAAGTACTTCTGTCACGGGGTGCTACTGTGAGGAGCACGGAACGAGGAAACCAGGAGACCAGGAGTACAAACCAATGAGTTTATTTCAATCGCGGGGAATCACATGTAGCACAAGGGAGTTGACATAAACAAACAATACCGGACAACACTAACTCAAAGGACTCAGACTTTTAAACACAGGATGACGAGGGACTAAGGAGACACACCTGGAATCATAGGAAATTAAACAAACACAGGATGACGAGGGACGAAGGAGACACACCTGGGATCACTGGAAATTACACATGGGAAACACCTGGGATGAAATTAACAGAATACGCGGGAGACCGAAACTGGGTCACAGAAAAACGCACACAAAACACGGGACAGAATCTGACAACTGCGTTCATGGAATGAATACTTATGCAATGTACTTATTTCAGTTTTTTAATTTTAATAAATTTGCAAAGTTGTCACAAATCTGTTTTTTTGCTTTGTCATTATGGTGTATGGCGATTAATCTCAGTTCTAACAAAGGTTAAGGATGAAATATTTTGGCGAAAAAACAAAGCTTCAAATACACATTTGGAGTGACAACTTTCACTATTGTACAGCACAGGCATTGCTGTCTCGTGTCTGCGTCCTTGTGTCTTTCTGCAATCACACAGCCAAACCGCTAGAAGGCGCTGTCGACTACAGGCACAAAGCGCAGCAGAAGAAGAGTTTGTTTATCTCTGTGAAGCAGCGGCAGTGTAAACGAATAGACTAAAATTTATAAGCATTTAATGGAATTCTCTCTTAAAATATGCTGTTGTGTAATGTTGTTATATGAACAAATATATTATTACATTTTTGGATCTCTAGATTCATTCATGATTTGAGCTTCGTCCTGTGTGATCAGCCTCACTGCTGTCATTGGAAGCTTTAGGCAATCAGACTCTATTACATTCATTTCCAATGGATTTGACATTATGCAAATATTGATTCAATCAGCCAAAGTGGCTAGTGGGAGTGGCTGTATTACACGCCACTACTGAAATCGGATTGGTTTGATACTTTTAACAAATTATATAAATCAGTTATCTCTTTATAAGCATTAACATTATTCACCAATATATGTTCATGTATAAAATTCTGTTTTCACACTGCAGTCGCAAATTCATATTGGTTTTCATAGTAACAACACTAACTTACGGTGGTTCACTGTTTTTAAGTTAGTTAGCAATGAAAGTTTCAAAGATATTTAGTGCAGTATCCAAATCTAAACTCATCGTAAATTGATTTGTTATTTGAATCTGTTTTTTAAAAACTGACAATCTCTAGATACACAGTGTATTGAAAGGAAAAATAAATGGACAATGTTTATAATAGAATAAGAAATATTACAACAGTATTATTTTTCATGTTCAATAAAGCAACAGTAGCCTTTTTTTCAATAAAACTTAAACATGCTTTATAAAAACACTTAACCCTTGTGTGCTCCTTATTTGGGAGTCACACTCATGGTCTTCGCGGTCAAAAGTGACAGGACACCTGAAATGTAACTTTATTTTTCTTCAGTAAAATCAAACTAATATATTTTTGTTCTATAATATTTTTTCTTTTGTATTTTGAGAGAATTTTATGGTACTAATTAATATTTATGCAATAATTATGATCAGTTTTTCTAACTGAAAATAGTAAAAAAAAAAAAATCTAATTTGTTAAAATTATTTTTCAATTAATGCAGTATTTCAGATTTAAATGGAGACTAGGCCTTTAAAATCAAATTTTTGTTGGCAGAATAGCACCTCCTGGTGAGAGCAAAAAAAGAAAAAAACTGTAATTTCATGGTGTAACCACAATATTCCTGTACAGGACTCTATAGAGAGGCTTGTGAATTCCCTAGTTGTTTTTATACATAATTGTTTACTTTTATTAGGTTGTGGATTTAAATGTATAAGGCATTCACAAAGACTACTTTTTGTC